AAGACTCCTAAACCTGAACTGAACATGTTCCCATGCTCCCTGCTTCTGCTGTGTTCCCCCCAACTCTGCCAGCATCTCAGGAGAGCAGCAAAGTCTCACCATCATGGCAAGGTCTTACAGGACCCTGAGCACCTTTCACATTGGAAGTGTTCCACAAGTGTACCTCCATCAAAGCAAAACATCTGGGAACATGAAAACACAAATGCCCAAAGTAACAAGCATAGGCTTCCAAAAGGCCCAAACAAGGATCTATTGAGGACTTTCTTGTCTCAGTGACCAGATAAAACAACTTATCGATCATTTTCTAAATTATTGTTTACATCTCACCTGTCCTCAGAACTCTGTAAACACTTCTTAGCCTCAGGCCCAAACCTGCCTAAATATTTTTTCTACCTCTTGATAAAAACTTATCAAACTACGTATCCACTGTGCACCATTAAATACATGGATGTCACAGAAATCTTTTTTTTTTTTTAATCACTAGCTTTATAAAATTATGATAACCTGGTTTGATGAAAATGAAATTTTTTTTTTTTAATTTTTTTTTTTCAACGTTTATTTATTTTGGGGACAGAGAGAGACAGAGCATGAACGGGGGAGGGGCAGAGAGAGAGGGAGACACAGAATCGGAAACAGGCTCCAGGCTCTGAGCCATCAGCCCAGAGCCTCACGCGGGGCTTGAACTCACGGACCGCGAGATCGTGACCTGGCTGAAGTCAGACGCTTAACCGACTGCGCCACCCAGGCGCCCCGAAAATGAAATTTCTGATACAGTAATCTCTCTTCCATTTGTCACTGGTTAGTTAAAAATCCAAGTTAATCATAATAATAAAGTTTTCTAGAAATAGCTTCATTAATACATGATAAGCATAATCATTATAACAGTTAAAAAAAAAGGACAAAGGCAAACAGTAAGCGCTTACTATGTGCTGGGTCCTTTTGTAATATCTCAGTCAATCCTCACAACCCTGTTACTATCTCCATTGTATAGAGTTTGGGGCACTTATGCACCACATGCACCCCGTTCCTTAGTTAGGAATTGACAAGCTTAAAAAAAGTTCAGGTGAGACAATGAGAAAAGAAGACCATCCTTCTCCATCACAGCACTTTTCCCCAATTAGCTGGAAAAAAAGTCTTCAGATAAATCTCCGAAGCTAGAGAGAAGATTATTTTAAAAGGTTAACTAGATGAATAGCCTTCCTTGGAATTTTCTATCCTAGCTGAATTTCACATCTTAGATTAGGCTAATAAGATTCCTGGGACCCCTCCTCTTAAGGAATCTCAGTGCCTCATTGGTCCACACTGATTGAAGCCAACTTACTCTCCCCTCTAGGCAACACACATCCCTGGGTTTTGAATTCAGACCCTCAGTTTTCTCAGAGTTCTCAAGACCACATGGCATTTACAATCTATTCACAGAATATGCTTGTTTATGAAAGACAGTGATGTTTACCACCAGGAGAAGATACAATGAGAAGACAGACCCACTGTGTAGTAGTTTCAGATATTTTTAACGGGAAGGCTTCGTTTTTTGTTGTTGTTTCTTAAAAAACAGCCTGTCTGGCATGCCTCCATTTCAAATAGAAGTACATTCAGTAGGAAAAGTCAGGTTCAGCAGTCTCAAAGGGATCTTGGGCGAATGTTTAATCCCACTCCCTTACTTTATAAGTGAGAGAAGGGGCCCAGGGAAGGGAAGGTCATATATGACCTATGTTCCCAAGGTCATACAGGGGAACTGTAGGAAGATGACCCAAAGCCCTCTCTCGGGCTCCTTTGGCGCTCCGGCTGCCCTCCGCATAACCCCATGCAACCATGTTCAAGCACGGGTCAGCACACCTTCCAAACCCAGGTGTTGATCTGGCAAGGTGGAAAAATTCCTGTCAACTGTGCTTTTAGCTAACTTTAGATGAAATAACATTAATGTGAAGAATTCCTTACAGAAATTCTGAAGCGTTAACATTTCACACTGATACAGGTGAATGGAAGCCAAAAAAGGTGAAAGAGGAATGAAGAAGGAAGTATATTCCAATAATCAGGTTATTCAAAACCACTGCAAGTCCTTCCTAGGTCTTCTGAAGCTGTGGCCAGACACAAGCAGAAGGCGATACTATGTTTCTTCTTTTGCATTTCCAGGCTAACTCTCCTCCCTGAGCTTAGTCTACAAAACATATCACATGGTGACAATATTCACAGCAGCATTATTCACTACAGCTAAAAGGTGGAAAGGAGCCCAACATCCATCAACAGGTGGCTGGATAAATAAATCCATCAACAGGTGGCTGGATGAATAAAACATGCACACGATGGAATATTATTTAGCCCTAAAAAGGAATGAAATTCCAACACATGCTACGGCGTGGATGAACGATGAAAATGTTATGCTAAATGAAATGAGAGATAGGGAGGGAGAGATAGAGGGGTGGGAGAGGGAGAGAGAGAGAATCTAAAATAGGCAACTTCATAATAGAGACAGAAGATAGACCAGAGGTTACCAGAGGGCGGAGGGAGAGCTATTGTATAATGGGTACAGGATATCTGGTTGGGATGATGAAAAATTCAGAAAATGTCCAGTGATGATGGTTGTACAACATTGTAAATGTACTTGGTATCCCCAGATTGTACTTTTGGAAGTGGGTTAAAATGGTAAATTTTATGTTAAAATTTTTTACCACAATTTAAAACATCACATTAAAAAGTGGATCATGCCCCTTCATTTCTCAGTTAGAATTCCTACCCTTTCTTTTATTCACTCACGGCCATTAAAGCCCAAACTTCTTTTCAAGACTTGCTTCCTACCAATGATGTCATGGTCAATGTGTGTGTTTCACACACATGGATAGACACGATCACATCGAAGCCCCTTTGTGTCCTGGAGACCCATCCACAAACACGTGTCCACCTTGAAGCCACCCACGTGGGGACTCCAACAAGAAGGCCCATGGCAAGACTAATGCAACCAGTGTTTCTGGAGATCCCCGCAACCAAACATCCCGACAAGGAGTCCCAGCTCAACCCTTAAATTCCTCACCACGGGGGGAACAGGTATTTAGTGCTGTATACTCTCCCTGTAAAGAAAACTATATGCACATACCAGGGAGACCTTCAGGGATTGCTAACCCAAGCCTGCTCCTCCAGGCCCACGAACAAAGAGATTTCAGCCCATACATGGCTATTCGGTGAACTCAGCAATTGCACGTTACACTGAACAGTGGGTGCCCTTAATGCAAACGCATATAATTAGGAGCTAAATCTTTGTACCTTTACAGGACAAAGGCTATAATAACCAGGATGTACCACTTGTGACTTCTGAGGAGAGTAGAGCTTTTCATTTTTCCTTTAAAAAATCTATTTCTCACAAGGTGAAGAGCATCTGAGAGCAAGAGTCTTTTGAAAACAGAAGCAGGGAGGAGGGTGCAGAATATGAGTTTTGTGTGCTATGGTCACAATCTATCACCCAGGCCTGAGAGGTGCCAATGGGTGCCCTACCACGACCTCTGTTCAACTTTAAGGTTTCACAACCTCATCTTCTTCTGCGAAAACCTTGGCATTGCCAGGGGCCTGAACACCGAGTCCCATAAGCTCTTAAAGATTTCCAGAGTTCATAAAGAAAAACAATCCCTAGTGATACTTTCCATTGTCAACATACATGGGCGTTTAGCGCAAATAAGCTGCCACTTGTAAGAAGTCCACTCGACATCACTCCCTGCATGTCCTAAGGACACATGGCAAGATCACACTAAGACGTTTAGAGGCAAGCATCTTTTGAATAAGGTTTCGTTCCCAAAGTGCTTAATTAGCAGGAACACTATGCTAAAGAACTGTCCTTGAATATGCATGCATTTTAACCTCCATGCTATTTTTTCTAAAGCACAAATTTTCCTCTCCCTGGATGGTCAGGAGATCACTGGGCACAAAAACCGACTGTCTTAGGTGTTGATCCACAAAATGAGGTCTGTCTTTCCAAGTAGGTTTTAACTGCCTTACAGGGCGATATCCTGGTTTATGAGGGAGACCATTCTTTGGAGTCTTTCCTCCATTCGTTTTGGATGAGCAATGCTCCCACGGCCTAGTTATGGCTGAACTCCTTCCACACTTCCCACCAACCTCTTCTGCCCCCTCACGCCTTCCTCCCACCCCAATTCCAGCCAACCATGTTTACAAGACACCCAGTTAGTAAATCACAATTCAAATGAACCCATCCATTTGTTCGGCAGAAAGTGGCCTCTGGAGTCGCTCCATGTGAATAGGCCAGAGTTACATATGGCAGGCCCGCAAACGCGAACAGGATATGATTTATTTATGACGACCATGTGTGTTTGATGCCCAGTTCCAGCAGGCTGTGGCTCCCCTCCCCTGCCTCAGTCTGGGATGACCTATCTACTCACTGTGTCCCATTTCAGGTACTGTATTTCCACGCTGGGGACACAGAGATGGGCGACCGGCTGGGGGCTGCACACACAGATGTCCCGAACCCTGCTGGCCACGTAACAATCTGTGACCACACACAAAGTGGGCCAAACATAACTTGCTGCAAAGGTTTGCCGTGTACAATGGTTTCCAGTGGAAAGTGGAGAAGTGGCGGCTGGAACCAATGACCATGTGGGGCTCATTAAATTGTTCTGTATTTACCTATAAGGAAGGCTGGGATGCCGGCGAGGGGAGCCCTGCTCCTCATTTCAGAGATTTCAACACCCCCCCGCCCCCCATCATTTGGCAGTGATGCTCCAAAGGTGAATGGCAGATCTGCATCAGAAGGTCCAAACGTGGACCTCAACTAAAGTGCTGTAAACTTCTGCCTTCCACAGTCTCCCCCCTGCCCCCCCCCCAGTTGTATTTATACTTTGAAAGAAGTTAACATGAAGCAGTAGTCACCTGGGCGTGCTCGATTTTTGACAAGCCTTAGTCACTCTGTACCCAGCAGAACAATTCACATTATAGTCGAAATCCTGTGAAGATTGTGCCACACATGCTAACACTAAAATGCCAGTAGCTCCACTTACCTTCTTTATTAAGCCTCATAACCTCCCTGCTTTTTCCACCCTCTTTTCCAGCCTCTTCTAAATCTACATCTGCAGATGAAAAAGAAAAGGAAAAGAGAATGAGGAAAGAAAAAAAAAAAGATCAAAAAGGGGGGAAAAAGCCAAAGTCAAGGGGGGCAGGGAGAGTGTTTATTTGCAAACAGATCGATATAAATACTGTACATGAAAATCTTTCAAAAACTGACAATGCAACATTTTCTCCCAAGTCCGGATTGCCATCTACCTGGCCCAGATAGGTACCAAAAAAAAACTATGCAACCAGCAACAGAGTAGCCTTTTAAACAGATACACCGTGGGGCTGTGAAAGCCCACCCCGCGGGCTGCCACGGGGAGCCGGGCACAGACAGACAGACAGACAGCCCTGGCAGCAGGGCCTCTCTCTGTGCATTGATGATCTGTCTCTGTGTGTATTTATTTAGAGAGAGAGGGAGAAGCATGGAGGACACCGGGGGCCACTCTCTCTCTCACACACACACTTTTTCCCAGTGGCTCTAGGTGAATGGAAAGGTTACAGGATAATAAAAGGAGGAGGAGGCGGTGGGGTTCTTACTGTCGGAGCAGTGTAATTTGGCGGCGTCGATCCAGGAGGACCAGGGTTTGCCCAGAAACGCCTCCGGACTGGGCACTTTGCGATCCAGTGTCGCCATTGCTCTTCCTTCTTGTTGCTTTTTCCCTGTTCCTTCGGCAGCAGCAGCCGAGAGACACGGGATTCGAGAACGCTCCGACGTCATCTTCGGAACGTTCCGACATTGAGTGCTCTGAAAGGGGGAGGGAGG